ATCTTTTGCCTTGAGTGATTTGATGAGGATATCGTCTATGTAAACTTACATGGTCTGGCGTATATGTTATGCAAACTTCATATTTACCAGTCTTTGGTAGGTGGAGACAACATTCTTTAAGATAAAAGGCATAACCTTATAGCAGCAGAAGCCCCTAGACGTTATGAATGAAGTCTTACCTGGAGAAAGCATCCATGAAGCTCATCAGCTGGTCTCATGTCATTGAGTCGACTAGCTTGTCAATATGTGGTAGGGGAAAAGGATCCTTTGGGCATGACTTGTTCAGGTTGGTGAAGTCTATGCAGACTCATCATTTCCGTTCTTCCTACGGACCACTACAAAGTTGACTTGCCATTCCGTGTATTGCACCTCTTATGAACCTGGTATCCAATAATTTTATAACTTCATTGTTGATGAAGGGATCCCATTCTAAAGTGATTTCCTTCCTTTTTGCCTCATTGATTGGTGTAGAGGGTCGACATGAAGCTTGTTAATAATTATTTATGAGTCTAGCATATCAACATAGTATTAGGCAAAACAGTCAGAGTTAGACTGAAGGAAATCTATTAATCTCTGCCTCAGACTTTTTTGTAGTTTGTAACCTACTTTGAGATTCCTGCTTGAATCTTACTCTATAAAAAAGACTTTACTGAGTTCTTCAAGCTCTGGCTCTTTTATGTTCGGAGCTGGAGACTTTTGCTGTAACTACAATAAGATTTTGGTCTTGCCTTTGAGGACTGTTTGGTAGCAAGAGCGGGAGTTTTCCTGATCTCATTTTATTTCTTTGAAACCTAAAATGTATGAAATTTAACTACCTGATGGAGGGTAGAAGGTGATTCCACGACATGGTTCCAGGGCATCCCTATAAAATATTGTAGGAATAGGCACGCATAACTTCTCCTACATGTTTATTCGACCTCACCGTTGAACACTATGAGTGGCGTGACTTTACGGGTCAAGGTGTCTTTTCCAATCATAAATCGTTGTATGCAGCCAGAAAATCATATTGGTGGAGCTCCTATTATCAACTAGTATCCTCTTCACCAACAAAATTGCCAACGTGAGAGACATGCTCAGGGCGTCATGGTGAGGACCCAGAACTTTCTACTGCTCTTTTGATGTAAGCTTATTTCATCAGTCCTCAGGAGCATGCATTTTGCATTCTTGGTGTCTTGGCCATTCTTGGCACTTCTAGTGCTTTTCCTGACAATTTCATGGGTGGTGTCACTAATTTCTTTGGAGCCCCCATATATTACGTTGATTACCCTATCGTGTCAAGGTGATGAGGCGGGAGTGATTCTGGCCAGATGGTTGTTCCCCTCTTTGTTGTTAAAGAGATTATTTTCCTTGTGGAAAAGAATTTCCTGAGGTATCCTTTCTTTAGTAGCTCGTTGACTTCCATCTACAGTAAGATACAATCTTCAGTTTTTTTATTAATGTTCTTTATCGAATGCACACCACCGGTTTGGATTCCAAAATGTTTATGGTGCTTTCATCTTTTGAGGAAACTTGACCTGTAGACCCATCAACCTCTGAACGTTGACCAATTCCGATATCGAGATGGAGAGATTGGAGATGTCTAGCCACATTGGCACTGCCATTCCTTCAGATTTTTCTATTAGATTGTGGTATCTACCACAATTCCAGCCTCATGCCTCTTTTCCAGGCTTGTGATAGGGTTTGTTTGTCACTTTATCATTTCTCTTTCCCTTTGATTTATGCTTTTGGGAATGTTTGGATTGACACACTGAAACTTCTTCCCATTTTGAATTAGCCCATACTCGGGACAATACATCCTCCATGGTTTTGCATTGGTATTTGGTCCCCATAGGGTAGCAGATCTCTCTTGAAAACGGAAATGGATAGTGAGGTGTTACATCTAGAGATAGATACCTCTTTCTGGTTGAAGCGTGCTATGTTGCTACATAGTGGTTTGGATCGATGATGTAGGATCTTGTAAAGATTGTCGGTCGTCTTTCCTACATTCATGCTACTCGCGTACGTAGATTGATGTACCATCGCAGGGTGGATCAGGTCAGATTTTAGCCAAAACCCTTGCACATGATAGCTTCTTGGAGTCTTTTTAGATGATTATAGTAAGCATTCATTGTTTGTACTGAGTCACGTGGTTATACAGATCACTGATTCCATCATACATTCTCATGTTTGAAAAAGATAATTAATTTTGCATATCTATCAAGGAGATCTCGTCTGCAAAAAAAAAGTAACCGCGTAGGAAGCGGGTGCGCTTCTCCTGTTAAAAGGGGGAAAACCATGAAATCTTTCTATACACGCTGGACCATTCAATTTTTTTGGAAAATACATCTTCCAAGTAAGGCATCTCTTTCGAGTTCTTTGTAGCTGCTACTTCATGCATCTCATTATCAGAATCCGTGTCTGCTAGGTTTTCTTCTGAAATCGTGTTTGCCCGGTTCACATAGATGATAATGGTCCCTCCACAGGTTCTCCATTCAGTTCATCGGACTTCGTTGTCTCTATCAACTGGATTCTCTAAGGGCTGCATAAGTCGAATATGAGTTCAAACATGCGTCGCTTTTTTCAGCGGTATTGAGGGCTCAGTCCCCTTCTTAGAGAACTAGGTTCTCTGCTTTGATCTATGATAGCTGATGGACGCTCTGCTCCAATTTCTTGGATTATTCTTCCATCCTATCTTTAAAGGCTAGGAATCCGAGATAAGCATGGGGTTATCCGTAGAGGAGTTGGTTTTCCAGGATAGGTGCATTTTGTTAATTCTCCTTTCCATGGCTGCGAGCAAGGATCGTAACTTGGTTTTGACCTTGGTGGCCAAAGGTTGCTCGATATACTCACTTTTTGTAATTATCACGTAGTCCTTGTTACCCTTTATTTTAGGGCCAAACTGTTATGATAAGTTTATGCATGGTTCTTCATGATATTACAAAATAAGAAGTAAGTAATGTAATACAGGATTCAGTGATCAAATATAAGTTTTATTGGTCAAGAGAGTCGGGATTACAATGTGTTGCTTGAAAATCTAGTTTTACATCCTAACTCTATAGTTAAAGCCTTGAATATTCTATATATTTTTCTGAAGTTTTGGATCCCCTTTTATAGGTCATCGTTACTCAAGGATTATGTTGGATCCTTTCATATCTTAAAACATGAAAATATATTATTTTAGTATAAAATTTTCATTTTACCTAGAAGCAGGAGGAAAATCCAGCATTTAAACCGAAAGTTGGCATCCTGCTTACAAAAAATGACTTTCTTGGATTAATTTTTACAAAAGATAATTATAAGAGAATTATGTTCACATGCACGGACAATGCTTAGTTTTTTTCTTGGTCAAATGGACAAAATGCCTCGTTATTTTTATTTCTTAAATATGAAAACTGTGGTTGTTAAAACTAGGGAAAATTGAAAAATTAGGACACTCTCAACTTGGATTTGTTCCTATAAGACTTTTAGAAGATTTTTTGGGAAAATAGGATTTTCAAATCTGTTAATACCATAATACCCTTTCAATTAAGGAGAATTATAAATTTAAATTATAAATAAAACAAAACAAAAAAAAAACAAGAATAGGGACACAAAGTACAAAGGAGAAATAGATAACCCTAATTTTGTTTTACATCATCTTCTCCGCCGAGCTCTCTCCCATGGCGATTCTGCCTTCTCTCTGACATAATTATGTGACAATTAAACACATACTCGTACACGAAGAACACATTATGTATCAAGGTGACTCATGATTCAACACACCCGAGGATCAAAACTGATTCAAAGAGAAATATTTGATTATTTTTGGTTCGGTTCTATTATCTGGGATCGGGATCGAACGATCTAAAATAGAGATCGATCGATCTATGATAGATTGATCGGTGAAGATCGACTGAACTGGACAAGGTCGATCAGTTTATAATCCGTACTTTTTTATGTTTTTGTTTAATCATCGAGATCGACCGTCGGGATCGACCGAATCTTTCTGGGATCGATCGATTCCGTGAGGAAGAGAGAAAATCATGGACAAAATATTCTCTAAGATATTTAGGAAACATCTTCAACCGAATATGGAAGTTTCCATATTTTATGGATTACCTAGAATATGTATACTACCTAAGGCAGAACACAGTAGAAAAGTTGGGAAACATATTCTTTCTCAAGTGTCACATAAGGTAACATACTGATAATGTTATCAATACTACCTTGGTTAGAATAGACAAGAAATGTTATATTACGTTTCATACCTCGGGTCTATCTAGCAAGAACACCAAGTATATGATTTCTAAACTGAGTAGATAACCTGAACGAGTATTCTATCTGTAGCTAGAAGATAAAATAAAATATGATTCCACTTTTAAAAAATAAAAACTTAAACATATATGTTGTCATACTTATGTTTTCTAACCTTCTCATATTTTTTTCTATTTTTCAAAATTAGTCTACAATTTTTTTCATTAATAAAGGGTAAAACATGTCCAAAATTGCCAAAAGTATGAGAAATCCTATATGGACAAATAAAAGTTCAAAGTGTCATAATTTTCCAATTTTCCCAAACTATTCACTACATAGTTTTTAATAAAATTTAAGGTGTATAATACTATTTTTGGTGCATACCTTGTTGGTCTATGTTGGTTTCATTTATTCGTTGTTTTAAAATAACTTACCTGAACTTATAATAAGATATATATCATAATTTATATTGATGTATTTATATTCTAATTAAATATAAACACATAAATAATATGAATTTTTAGTAGTTTTTTAAAAGTATATAGACACATCTAGATTATGACACAGATTTCTTTGAATATAAAGTTATAAATTATAAAATGTAATTTAGATTTATTTTTATAAAATGTATTTTCATGCGATATCGCGCGGATTCCTTACCTAGTCTAAATAATTATATTATAGAAAAACTGAATCGAACAATACTTGAGCATTTAAGTTTTTATTTATTTAAAGATGAAATCAACTGATTCCACGTTGAAATCAGAATTTTAAGAAATTGAAAATAAGACCGTTCATATTGGAAAATCCTCCGTTAAATATTTGAATGGCCATTCCGTCAAATGGAGGAGTTTAAGGAATATAAACTATATAATCTTGTATTGCATTGTATTATATCTAAACAAACCCCAATATTATTGTAAAATATAAGGCTATAATACATGTTTAAGGACCGGTTAACCGGAACATCTGCAAATCATATAACTAGAAACCCACTGGTTTTTTTTTCTTTTTGTTACTGAACCCCACTGGTTAATATGTATATATATACATATAATGTTCTTATTTTCTACAGCTTGCTCCACTGCAAAATCACCGATGGATGTTTCAAATGGTTTATCGCTAATCAAATTGGTCTCTTGTCACATACCAGTTGATGGTGTTCATTATCAGCGATACAAAGAACCTCTATACGAGGGACTCCAGTAGTCAGTTGCACTGTTATCGTGGTATGCAATTGGGGTGCAAGAAATAGGAACCAAACAAAGGCCTCTACTCTTTAGGTCTAAATGTTTTGGTCCTCTTTTGTTGTGCTCTTCTCTGTCCCATCCTCCCCATGGATCCTAAAACCAAGCATATACCATTATAATTGACTAACAAAACAGATTTCTCTATGAAAAATGTAATTAGCCAAATATCTATTGAAAATCATATTTAAAGTATACAAACACCTTTTTCTCCTTAAAGCGTTACCTTAATTGATGAATTCTTCATGTAAGGAGTGCTAAGCAGCTGCATGATCGTAAGCAGGCCAACCAAATGATCAATTAAGATAATTAATTGTAGGCTTGCATGTGTATGCAACAATCATCATTTATGTACGTGTAAAAAAAAAATAGTTTGTTCTTCAAAACTGTATGACACTGTCATAGCTGTAATGGTTACTTGCATTTAAATAGAAAGCCATTTTTCAAAAAAAAAAAAAAATAGTTTACCTTTACTTGCTCTTGATAAAAATTTATGTAAGTGATGGCCTCTTGTAGCACAGAAGCAGTATCTGTCTAAAAGATTTTCAAAACAACATTAAATTAACTTCCATGTATTCACAAAAAGGAACGTTAAACCAAGGAGCAATACATATAAGAAAATGAAAACTAAAAGGAAAAAAATGAATAGGCCCTTTTTGTAGTACCTTTCCAAAGGGAGACACAATCTGCTGTAGAGTCGTGATCTTGTCCCGAAGCTTGGCTTTCGGTAATTCCTGCCATTTTTTTCGAATATGTAAAGTAAAGTACGTAGCAAAAAAATAATAATAATGTAAAGTAATCTCACTTTTGTATATTTATTTAAACCAATTTTTTATTTAAACCAATATTAATTTCATTTAAAAACCACATTTTCCATAAAAGATCATTATTCTATACTTTCTTTTATTCTATACTTTGGGAAAATATAGTAGAGAGACTAGTTACTGATTGTTATCTTATGTTCCAATATAAAATTTTCATTCAAACAATAATTTCGAAAGTTCTTATAAAAAATAGTCGTCAGTATTTGTCAACGTATTTTTTTCCGACTGTCAACGTATAGTTTTACTCTTGACGTAGATTAACTTGTTATATAGTTAACGCAAAAGAAATCTCACTATCTTTTTGCATTATTAAGGTATACGTACTTGGGTGCACGCACAAATTAACATAACTATATTGTGTAAATTGATCACCTTATCCGGCGAGAGTGTGGAATCGCGGCCGCACTTGGCCTTCTTAGATACCTCATCGGAGACTTCATCACATCTTTTCTTCTTCCCGTTGTTTGTTGATCCCAACCTCACAGTTGCCTGCGAAAATAGCTTCCATGTTCGTGGTTAGCTTTCTGTGCATAGACTCTAATTGGCAATTTAGCATAGTGCATGTGCTAGATTATTGTGTGGTACTTAATTAGGTTTGCGAGCAATGAAATCTTATGGTGAATTTGACTAAAAGCATGCAAATATAGCAGAAAAAAAAAGATAAAGAAGGAAAATAATTTACAAGTACCACAAAATTTCTGTTAAGGAATTATTTCTAAGATTAAAGCTGCAAAGGAGATATCAAAACATTAAGTCCATTGTAAACTCTATCGTTTAAGCGAATTAGTAAATTAAATACGCTAGTGCTAATGACAAAAATCAGGGAAGCAAACCACATATTTGATGATATAAACATAATTAATGGTGTATGCGTACCAGTGATGCCGTTTGATGCTCTTTCTTGTTTAACTCAGATAAGTTTAAGGGCTTAAAGCATGGCTTAAACGAGGGATTAATATCCGTTAATGGCCGGCTTAGCCTTATATCAAGGAAACTCCTGGAACTTTCTATAGCATCATGAAACAGCGAAGCACCACCACTTAACCCATTATTGTAACAAAGATCTTCCTCATTTTTCACTTCCAACGCTTGTCTGTACATAGAAACGTCTTCGTTTGTCTGATCAAAGTGATGATGAAGGTTATGGTTCATGTCGGGATTATTTGGTGGCGCAAGCGACCAGTGTTTGCCTACGAGATCCGTCAACTTTGACAGCCTTTGTTCACTACTTTGATCGTACCTTACTTGGTTTGTGTCGTAGATCCAACCGTTACCGTTAGCGTTATCGCAGACTGGCTCAAAAGGCAATTCTGATGTTGTCGATGAATTATTTCTTGACGATGTTATGTGATTATGATGATGATGATCCAGCATTTGATCTCCTAAGATTCTACCAGGTCTGTCCATTTATAATCATCATAATTCATCAACGTCTGTATAAATTACAAAACTTAGGGACATATGGTTTTGGATTGTATTTCCTTACACTTTTTAATGAATTTATGTGTAGTTTATATGCTATATTGTTTTTACTTTAAAAATAAAAAACACTAGAGTATATTTTAAAAAATTGTAAGTAGTTTTTGGAATTTGTAAACCGTATACAAATAGTTTAGAATAAGCTTCAACTTTTTTTGTTTAATACCAATAAACTACATCTTCGAGTGGCCAATAATAAAAGATAATCATAGGTGCAAAATTATAGGCATACCCTCACCAATCAAACGTTAAATCATTTGTTGGGGAACAATAATTCAAAAGAGCTACTATTTTACTTTCGTAAACCAACTTTTAGACCTCTCTTTTGTTTCTAATGCTCTTTTCTTTTGTTTTTCAGGTTTGAAAGCATTCGTTTTTTAACTTTAAAAAAAAAACATCTTAGAAAAAAAAATGGCAATACCAAGTAGACGATATCATTATGGAGTGGAACGTAAAGCTAAACCTAAACTAACTTTGAATCTACAGAAACGTTGTGTAAATTGCAAGTAAGAACACAGAACTAAAAGATGCCAAATACGTACGCAGAGAGACACGAATACACGTATGAATACTTACAAGTAGGCAAGACTCCATAGGTGATTATTAGAAGAGACGACGTGGTCACGATGCAACTCATTGGAGGTGGAAGCAGGGTGATCCGGAGCCGAGAGAGAATGACGATTGGGTGATTCAACGGTTAGGTCAAAACGATTTGAAGTGTTTACCGTTGAGATCGAGAGATTGTCTCCTTCACAGCTTGCGTTTGCGTTTGAGCTATTATTATTGTTACCGTTACTATTCTTATGGTAAAAAGAAGTTGAAATGGAGCTTGCATGATCATTATGATGATGTTGAACATCTTCCCACCATGACGAGCTTGGAGTACATTCTTCCCGTATCATTTTATTTTCTTCAAGCTTTTTTGTTGTTGTTGTTGTTGGTTAAGAGTCTAGAGGATATGCTAATTAGAGAATATAAAGTGTATATGAATATGATACGATCGGTGGTGGTGACAATATAAAATGCGAGTGGGGTATGTCCACTAAGATACACTTAATATTATATACAGATTTATAGAAATGTCTTTAAGCCACCGAAGAAGTGCTATATGCGGTCTGCGTAAGATCGTACGTCAATTGAAGATGTATTGACCTCCTCTACATGAACTTGTCACATTTTTGAAGGTTACTGGACTTTTCACAGTTATAACTCCATAGAAACTACTATAATGTATATATAGTACGAATAAAATTTTGGGCTCTAATCCGACATTGGTTACTCAACTGGTAAATCAGATGGCCATCCAAGGATATACAGTGACTTCATGGTCAACAGTTCGACCAATTAAGACAGGAAAGAAAACAAAATACCCACTTCAACAGCTTTTAATCCAAAAAAACTTGCTAAAATCTATAAAAAGTTTGGAGCCAGATAGTGTTCCTGAACATGTTTTCTTGTGAGAGAGAGACACTTTCAAAAGCTATATGCCAAGATCAGACTTGATATTTAGTCCAACTTATAAACGTCAACCGTATACTCCCAAGACACGCCTTCACCACAGTAAGAACTAAGAACTATCCTGCTGCAACCTATAAACATGTTTATTTTAAGTTTTATTAAGTGTATACGTGCGCATGTTAATATTACTTATACACTTGATAAGTTTATTAACACTCACAAGCTGTAAATTCTTTTAAGTTTACTCCGAGTGAAGCCAATTATTTGGCTGATTCCTTGCTACACTGGTTTTGACCAACTCTTATTATTTTGCTCTCCAGCTTTAATAAAGATGTTCTTTTCCCGATGGAAAGTTAAGAAAATGAATTGATTGACAACTAGTTTTCAGATGATGAAACTAGAACATACATGGTATTTTATCTGTGTAAAATTAAGGAACTTGAGATGATATTTATAGACAAAACAAAAAAGAAAATACCAAGACTCAAATGATAAATGATTTAGAGGCGAAGACCACAAATATGTTGATTGGTTTGTACGTGCATGTCGTCCTAATACCATTCTCAAGAGTTGAGCTTCTCATAATAATGAGAAATAACAAGAGTTAACAATAGACCTAGGGCGAAGGACGAGGTGTATCGCGTATAGTGGGCAATAGGGTTTAATTATTTTGCTTATTTATCGGTGTCCAATTATTACAAAAGTAGGCACATGATGCCAAAATTAATAATTTAAACTAACACGGATATGCTAATTAAAAATACGAGCGTGATTATTGATTAATACGTTATTATCTTTTGAGAAAAAGATTATTATCTTTTTTCATAACCAAAAGTAAGGGGTAATATTGAATATTAATGTATAGTTTGTGAGGTTTCAATTCACCGAACAAGGAAGCACCCATCTTTCTTGTTTTACCACACGTCCATGTAATTGTTCATACATATCATGATAACACATGTATGAACAATAAATATTAATGTTTTGAAAGGAAAAGGAGGGAAACACATGGAGATAGCCACGGTAACTTGGTTTGCAACAAGAGAAAAGATAGTCATCCTCTTTCACTGTCTAAAGAGAATTCAAACACTAGATCAAAGGCTCACATTTATTGTAAACGTGTTTTTGAAATGAATAATTTTAACATATACATGTCTGGTGAAGTACAACTAAAATAGCTTATTTGTATTAGATTGGTTGTCCAACATACTGCTATTTTAACTACACAACATGATCGAGTAGTACAGCGGGAAGGTGCTAAGCGCTCCGGATTCAAAATATACTATGACATATGTATCCATTGCAAACAACTAGATCAGTCGTACTGGTAGATAGACCCCAAAGATATTATTTGGCTGGAATCTGGTTTGCCGAATACCCAAATTATCGGAAAAAAAATAAAGAAAACATACTGTTATTTATCTATACAAGTCACGAGTAGGGATGGACACAAGCCGAGTATCTGGTAATTTCGATATACTTAGTACTCGGCTTGGCTCGTACGAGTATTCAAATTTTGGACATGTACTTAGTTTGTTAAAAACGAGTACTTGCAGTTTCAAGTACTCGCAAAAATTTGATGGATTTGCACTTGCCTTGTTTTATTATTTGTTATTTGTGACTTTTTTACAAATTACTTGATAACTATTGGTAAATTATTTGATAATTAGTTTAAATTTAAAGGTAAATAAATTCTTATATATAAATAATATGTCATTGTTTTCATTTTGTCATTATTTTTTCTGATTTTTAGTCATTTGTGAAATAGATTATATTAAGAAGGAAAAATGATTGTCAGCTATCTGAAGTATTGTACATGGCTGACCATGCAAAGTAAAGAAATGCACACTCAACAACACGAGGTATATGATATGCATACTAACATCCATGAACTTTATGTTGTTATGTACGCAACATCACAAGATCAATTATTCTAATTATATCACAAGACTAATTACATTAATAAAAAATATAATAGAAAAAAAAATTTAAGATATGGAAAATCTTTTTTACTTGATTTTTTTATTATTAAGAATAATTTTATTTTAAAAAAGTTTTATACATTAATATTAAAATTAATGTTATTTAAAAAAATAACTTTATCTTAATTTTACATATTTTAATATTTTGTTAGTTTAGCATTTATTTTTATACATGATTTAAATAATTATTTATATTTATAATGTAAGGATAGAAAAGTATTTGTTTTTTTAATGAAACTACATAATTAGGTATATTTGAAAACGTTTTTACATCTCTTTATAAATGTCCTTATAAACATTTTCAATAAACTAAAATGTTTTTAATATTTTAATACAAAAGTTTTTGCAATAAAATACTTAAATTTGTTTACTGAAAATATTTATAAAGACATTTTAAAGATATAAAACCTTTTGAAAAATATTTTTGTAATGAATTAACTATTTACATAATTATTTATATTTATATATGTTTATAAGAATTGGTAGAAAACTCTTTTTCCATTTAGTGAAAAATGTATTTGTAAGAATATATCCTTAATGAAGGAAAAATGAATTGTGCTACAACAAATAGGGTAAAAATAGAATTTCACCTAACAAATCATATAGAAAAATAAAGGACAAACTATTAAAAATATAAATTAAAATAAAGTTAAAAGTTTTTCTGAAATAAAATAAATTCTTAATATTGTTGTATAACACTTTTTTTTAAAAAAATCATAAGAATAAAAATATAAAAAGGTTTTCCATATCTAAAATGTTTTTATATGTTATAAATGTAATTAATCTTGTGATGTAATTAATTGTTATTAGCCTTGTGATGTTAACTACATAACAATATAAAGTTCATGGATGTTACTATGCATACCATATACTTCGTGTAGTTGAGTGTACATTTTTTTCTTTGCATGGTCAGCCATGTGATAGCCGATACTTCAGGTAGCTGGTAATCATTTTTCCTATTAAGAAAGAAAAAATTATAAAATGTTTATAGAAATATATCACTTCTGTTTGATTCACTTTAAAAAATTGAAATATTAGCGAATTGTATTACTATGGTTTAGGAAAATGTATCTTTATTCATTAACAAAAACGAATAATAAACCAAGCAATACTGAATAATTAGTTTTAGTTTATTATTTTGAATTTGTTTGTATTTGAATGTAGTTTAAATAGACTACTTGATACACGTCTTAATCAAAACAAGTATTTGATTTTAAGGATAGTGTATCAACCAACTAGTAAACATGAGGCAAGTAAGAATAAATTGTGGCCACTTATAAATTACATAAATTTTAATGAAATATATATTAAGTATTTAATAAACTAAGTAATATATGACAAGAAACAAGTAAAAGGTAACAAGTAATTAACCAAGTAACAAACTAAGTAGTTAAAAATTAAAATAAATTTGATACTTGACTTGTAGTTGCAAATAATAAAATTTGTTTATTTGTTACTCGACTTGATTGAAATAATATTTTTTTTTCAAATCAAACCGAGTCAAATGGCGAATACAAGCTGAGTATTAAGCATTTGTGTCCAGCCCTAGTCACGAGCCCAAATACTTATTAACATTCTTTTATTTTAAACTAGTGGTGTACCGGCGCTACGCGCCGGATTCATATATGTTATTATAAAAGAAGTTGCGATTTATTTTGTGGTCTTGGTGAAGAGATTAATGTTCAGAAATTTGATGTTGTAAGTATGTTGAAGACAATGATCTTTTATGATTATTAGTGGAGTAGCATAAGTGGTTGTTATTAATCGAAACAAATAAAAGTAGAGTTAAAATTTGATAGACTTTACAAAGTTAATTTAGTAAATACTTAAACATAAAGTAAAGTTCATGTTTGTAAATGAAAAATGTAAATAGTTGTGTTTGTTTTGTGATTATGTTGTTTCAAGGAAGATAATATATAGTTCCGTCCTCTTAAAATAGTAACAATCCTAGACTGATCGTTTATATGTTATACACAAAATAGTAACAATCCTAGACTGATCGTTTATATCTTAAACGCCACCATTCTCGTGACCATTAAAATCAAGTCCCGTGAGCATATATAGATAATCAGAGATACAAAAGGCGAACTTAAACCCTAATGCTTCAAACATAGCTTCCAGCAGCGATCGGATTTTGATAGTGTGTGTTCCTAGTCAAGGTTATCAAAGAAATATTTTCTTTCTTTGAGGTTTCCTCTGCACAACATTACTAAACCCCAAAGATACATACCCTTATCGTATTTTCCATAAGAAGATTGGCACATGTGAGGTGATTGAGTGCTTTGATTGATTTGTGGTGGAAGAAGTACTGATTTATTCCCTCACTATTAAGATGAGTTTCAGCTGATAGGTGTCCGATATGGGGGGGAGGGGGGACTGGTGTGCGTGGTAGATATTTATATTGTAGCCAAGGCTGCCGTGGTTCAGATACTGGAGGTACAAAGATTAAAGAGTAGGAATAAGTACATAATTTTTTTTTACA